TGACCAAGTTGGTGGGGAGCGACCCGGTGGAGTTCGACCAGCGGGAGTATGTTACTGAGGTGCCGGAGAACACCACCCACGACCTACTGCTGCGTCTTACTGCCCGGGTCCAGGTCCCAGGTAAGTTCTGCTCCTGCCAGTGTTCCTTACACTCTTACTGGCACCGTTCCTGCTGTGTCAAGTTGTGTCCTGCTACTGGCGCTGCTCCTTGTATAGTTAACCTCCAGTTTGGTTCTCAATATTTATAATTTCATCATTACTCACATTTATCAAACCTTTTTCCTTTACCTGGAAGTGCACACACGCACACACACACACACACACACACACACACACACACACACACACACACACACACACACACACACACACACACACACACACACACCACACACACACACACACACACACACACACACACACACACACACACACACACACACACACACACACCCCACCACACACTTTCCTGTTTCTTCACCCCTTTCTCCCTCCCTCCGGACCACCGACCTCATCACCGTCACCGTATCTTTCTACAAGAGGTGGCGGTGAAGCATCATGACCTACCTTGTGTTTCTCCTTGCCGCAGGTGAGGCGGTGGAGTACAGGATCACGAAGGGTAATGACGAAGGCCTCTTCTACCTGGACCCCAGGAGCGGCCGCCTTGCCCTCCTCCAGCCACTGGACTACGAGCGCACGCAACAGGTGGGTTACTCATCTCTCCTCTTTTCTCTCCACCAGGTACAGCGTCACCCCGTCAGGATAATAGCCTACTTGGAGTCCATTTTTAGAGTAAAACCTATGAGGACTAAATCATCCAGGGCTCTCTAATTTGGTACTAAGTGATGAATATCAAGAGCCACCAAGAAAGCTCCACCTATACACACACACACACACGCACACACACGCAATATATATATATATATATATATATATATATATATATATATATATATATATATATATATATATATATATATATATATATATATATATATATATATATATATATGAAACGAGTCTTGAGTCTCCTTTTGGACAAAAAACAACATCTTGGATAACCTTCTCATCACAAAAACGTAAACAAACATTACGAAAAACTAAAAAAATAATACAAATACACAACACTGAGCAAAATCAAATGAACAAACAAAACAAAAAATGCCTGACCACTCACAGGTTCAACAGAGTCCGGCTGGTCCTATTGTGTGGAGGAACAAAAATAATAATTTGGTGTTTTTGCTGTCGACTGATGAATGTTATGACGCTAACAGCCGCCTGTGAGCCAAAAGAGGAAGGAAGGTGGGCAGCCCCATTTGTCACACTCCTCTTGAAGTAGCTGCCGTGTTGGTCTGCCCACTCGTTGCCGCAGATACTCTTGTAAACAGCGTGGATAAGGGCTGCAAGACGAGGGATCTATTGTAACACGGAGAGCCTGGAGATTGAGTCGAGTTACCACGTTGGAGTTTGGTATGGCCAGGAGAAAACCCCGGCATTAAGGAGCATCACTGCCTGCAGACGATCTCTCTCCGGGTCATTTTGTTGTCCTCTCAAGCATGTCTGAGGCAATCTTCTCCACAATGGGTTTGTTCCAGTAGGATTGTTTGTTGTCCTCCGGGGGCGTTGGTCTTGCTGCTCGGAATGCTTCCCTGAATTTGGGATCGTGTACCCCTGCGACCGTTCTAAGCTCTCCTGGAACGATCAACCGACCAGGGAGTCTGATGCCACACAGGACGATAGTAATGCTGGCAATGTAAGGTGGGAGGTTTGTGGACACCACTTACTCCCAGGTGGACCGGAGAATTGCCTTTTTTTCCACTGCTCGTCTTTTAAAGAGAGGTTCACGACCCTTGCCAACATGGTTTTAAAAGCTCATCGTACTCTCCTAATATGTGGCTGTCGAAGTGCGTCAGTTTACACAGGTACAGGACATTGTGGACATCCAGATGGTCTGTTCTCTCATCCATTCTTTTAATTGAATCGTCTAATAATAATAATAATAATTAATAATTAACGGTTTATTGATAAAATTCTGCAGCCCGAAGGCTGAAAATATACATTGGACATAAATGACTTATTACATACATTGGTGGTTTAACAAAAGCCTTCATTAGAGAAAGGTAAAGGAACATACAGTGAACATACAGATTAATGTAGGTGTTGAACAGCAAACTCGTAGTGTAGTAACTCCCTCCCAAGTGGTGTAAGGAGGAACTCACGTGGTGTAGTAGTTCCCTCAGATGGTGTTTTGAGGGACCTGGCGTGGTGTAGTAATTCCCTCGCAGATGGTGTTATGAGGGGCCTCACGTGGTGTAGTACTTTGCAGGACGACAGGGATGGTGTTGGCAGGACAACAGTATATATTCATTTTGTACTCACACACCCACGCACACATACGCTCGCGCGCGTATGGATATTGCTTATCGTATACAGTATTAATTGTCACGAGCGAAAAATAAAAGAATATTGATCAAGATAATTAACTAACCATCAGTATTTCTTGAACAAAACAAAATCACAATCGGGGCCCCGTGATATATTGTATATGTATAACACATCAGTAAATGCATTAAAAGGTTGTACTGTACATTATACTTAATATCACATGATCATTAATAACAACGAATAGCATTATTTTTTTTTCAATTTTCATTTCGTACTGTACATACCTGCTCAATATCCACACCTGTGTAACCAATACTAATGAACTGTTATATTTTTCCATAACCTAGACTCAGATATCCCCACAGTGGTATTTTTACCTTGAGTTTATTATCGTCTTTATAGACCTACTGTACTGTGCTTCCTGCTCTTTACCATCTATTTTTTTAATACAATTCTTAAGAGTTTCATTAAAGTAAATATATCACATTTTTATAATTCTTTATGGTTTAAGGCCTAAAGAAATTGTTCAAAATACTTAATTTTTTATTTTTTAAAGTAATACAATTATTTTGAATCTTCCTTCGATTAAGTGGATAAATTAAAGTTTTCCCATTCTTCTTTATCAATTAAGTAAATAAGTCAAATTAATCTAAAGTTTTGTATGTTTTAAGTAAATTGTTAAAATTAGTTTTACAAGTGTTTAATAGTCCCTGTGAGTTCTCTTGTAATCTTGGTGTAAGTTTATCAGTGACCTACTAAGTGTTACTTAGTTTACCCCCCCCCCCTCCCACCCGTCTCCCGCTCTCTGACCTGACCTGACCTGACCTAATACATTTATGACATATTCAGGAAATTTTTAATCATTGAAATTCATGACAATTTTTAACAGAGGACGTTCATACAAGAGAGTTGTTTTGAATCAGTTATTACATATACTGGAATTTAACTGTATATCTCTATACATATTACAGGGGAATGTATGATGTATAATGTATTTTGTCATTTCATGTATCGTTTAATAGTTTTCATTATGTCTGAAATTGTAATAATAATAATGATAATAATTAACGGTTGATTGGAAGAGCATGGCAGCCGGAAGACTGAAAATATACAATTACATAATTGGGAAATGATTGACAAATAATTAACATAAGTGATACGAATATGACATATAATGATATATAATAACTAAGAGTGTGTGTGTGTGTGGGGGGGGGTTTATAAAAAATGTGTAAACATGGAAACAAAATTGTAATTCTCAATTCAATTTATAAATAACTTTAGGTAAAACATTTTTGAACTGTTTTTCAAGTTTCACTTCGTTAATGTTTTCATTTCCAAATTTCACATAATTGTTCAATTCCAGGATAGTTCGTGTAAGGTGAAATGACAGAAAAAAATGAAAACAAAAATGGCATAGAAAAAAAAACGAAATGACTCATTCTGTTTCACTGAGCGTTGTTCCGAAAAATGGATGAGCAAACACTGAATAAGTTCAATATATATATATATATATATATATATATATATATATATATATATATATATATATATATATATATATATATATATATATATATAACAAAAAATTCAGTTCTAATTTAACATTTAATTCTCAAAGTATACAAAAAAGTGGGGAAGACTATCGCTTCTTTCTTTTTTCATTTCATTCCACGAAGTTCTTAAAAAAAACACTAATAACTAACACTGAATAAATCGGAGCCTAAACATATTTTAATACAAGGAGACACATACCTGACCGCCTCCTGCATCGCGTAAGAGTTAGAAGACGTTATCAGCGTCTGGGTGCAGGCGAGAACCCACAGGGATACAATGCCTTCAACCACCTCTTGGGTCCAAAGTCCTCCCTCTCAACTTCCACCACCAAGATGCAGCTCCCCACCCTTCCTCCCTCCCTCATCACCACCACCAGGATCCAGCGTCCGTCCGTCCCTCCTCATCACCACCACCAGGATCCAGCGTCCCTCCCCCTCCTCCTCCTCCCTCCCCCCGCCCTTCCTCCTCCCTCATCACCACCACCAGGATCCATCCCCCCCTTCCTCCCTCCCTCATCACCACCACCAGGATCCAGCGTCCCTCCCTCTCTCCCTCCGTCCCTCACCCCCTTCTTCCTTCACCACCTCATCACCTCATCACCTCCTGGGTCCATCGTCCCTATCTCACCAGTACCTTCAGGATGCCTACATTCCCCACCATTGGTTCTTTCTCTAACCATCCGTGACAAGTCCACCATTCTCCCAGATACCGTCCTTGCCAACATCAGCTACCGTCTAATACTGTCCGTGCCAATACCCTCAATCAGGAACCGTCCGTGATCCTGTCCGTTATCATCCTCTCAAGTACCGTCCGTGCCCCTGTCCGTTATCATCCTCTCAAGTACCGTCCTTGCCCCCGTCCGTCACTGTCGTCCTTGGGCGGAGTCAGGGCTTAATATTGATGAATGATGTTGTTTTGACACCCAGTAAACCTTTACCTTGGTTTCTCTTTATCTCAGCTTCTCTCTCAAAGCTTTATCTCAGCTTCTCTCTCATTCCCGAAGCTTTATCTCCCCTTGACTTCCATCCTCAAAGCTTTATATCGTCTTATCTCCCATCCCTAAAGCTTTATCTCGTCTTATCATCCATCCTCAAAGCTTTATCTTGTCTTGCCTACCAACCCCCAAAGCTATATCTCGGCTTCTCTTCCATCCCCAAAGCTATATCTCGGCTTCTCTTCCATCCCCAAAGCTTTATCTCGGCTTCTCTTCCATCCCCAAAGTCTTATCTCGGCTTTATCCTCATTCCCAAATCTTTTGTCGCGTTTTTCTTTCTTTTTGTCAGTGGAGATTGATTGTGGTGGGAGACGTGAGTGGATGGATGGATGGTGGATGGATTGAAGTCGTAGGGTAGAGACTGGGAGTGGCTGGAAGCTTTGAGAGCACCAGGAGAAGCTTAACTTGTGTGCGTGTGTGTGTGTGTGTGTGTGTGTGTGTGTGTGTGTGAGACTTGATTTTAACACAGTCAAATACGTAGGTGAAAATTCGATAGAAATAAAGTAGGAAGAGTACAGACAAGGAGGATGACTGTAGGGGACATATGAAGTTAAATCGATGGGAGGTTGTGGCTGAGTTTTAACTGTCCATCTTTATGTATAATTTAACATAGAAATGGAGTTTAAATATTTTAGATGAATGGTTAAATAGGGTATAAGCTAAAATGTTGAAGGATGAGAGTATGAGACTTGGTTTTCAATTGGAACTGGAGGGTAAAATTGAAGTGAATGGACTGTGGATTAATTTAACTATTATAGGAGTGCTCTGAGGCCTTATAATACACGCTACACTGGAGGCTACCGAAGTGAAGTGTGAATACGTGAAAATAGAATGTGGAAAGAGAGGACTGGCATGATGGAAGGAAGAAATTAAGATATTTGTGGAGGATAAGAAAATATTTTGGATTTTTTAGTTTCCCTGCAATCAGTGAACAATAGAAAACGGAAAAGAAAAGTGTTTTGAATAAGAAGGTAAAGAAGAAAACGTGAATGATGATTTTCGGTAAGAGGAAGAATAATAACTTGAGGGAGAATGATATAACCCATTGTTGCAGAAGATCAAAGAATGCAAGAGAGAAGAAGGATGGGCCAGAGAAGGAGGAGCTTTGAATGAGGAGGAAAATAAGCGTACGAGAGCTCAAGAAGTTAGAGAAAGATGAAGAGGGGTATTTGAGAGACTTGATGGAGTTGGAAGAGAGACGAGCGAAGAAGTAGGTGAGAATGATAGTAAATTTTGATGAAAATTGGTGAAGAAAGATTAACCATCATAACACTAACCTAACCTAACCTAATCTAACCTAATAACATCGAATCTAATCTTATCTTGATTAGTTCCCAGGAAGCGATGAGGTGTTTAATCACCAATCGAAATAAACTGGGGTGCTAATCATGTAAGTCCTATTAAATATTTTTTTCAAGAAAGGATAAATCTATGGTATTTGAAAAAAAAATGGAAAATCGTTGTAATATTTGTTTATCGTCTCCCTCAGTACACGCTGCTAGTGGAGGCGAGGGCGGGGGAGGCAAGGAGTGAGGCGCGGGTGTTAGTGAAGGTGGAGGACCAGAACGACCACGCCCCTGTCTTCCCCAGGTCCCTCCATGAGACACAGATCACCGAGGAGGACGACCGACATCTCCCCAAAGTCATCCTTAAGGTTAGTAACAAGTATGGAGGTCATTCTCGAGCCTAGTGGCTAGTATGAAGGTCATCCTCATGGTTAGTGATCAGTATGAAGGTCATCCTCATGGTTAGTGATCAGTATGGAGGTCATCCTCAAGGTTAGTGATCAGTATGGGGGTCATCCTCAAAGATAGTGATCAGTTGTAAAATGAGTGGTAATTGTTCCCGTTTCCTGTTCATTTACATGTATTCATTGTCTGTTATTACTATAGTGTCAAAGCGTTACTAAAGGTAATGATAAATTCACGTTGAATATCTACAATTATTATATTAAGCTATTCAGTAACTGAAAATAAATTAATATTGCATAATTTGTAATAAATTGGTTATTTTATGGAAGAAGAGTGAGGTACTGTTTAATATTGTGTAGTATATAATAATACAAACAGGTCCACCCAGGATTGCCAATACAAACGCCTGTGTTGTTACATACAATGAGGTGCGTTATGAAATTTGATATCAAATTGTTGTAAAGCGTTATATTATATACATGTTCTCTTATATTTATTTTATTAATATTTTGTAAATTTGTTTGTTCAAAATACATTTAGTAAGAGTTTGTAAAACATTTATTTTTTTTACGGTTGGTAATAAAATACTTTGTTATGATGTACATGTTTCGTGTTTGCTGATTGGACTGTTTGTTTCGAGTGATCTCATTGACGCTTACGTTTGCCGTTATTAAATACAAACACAGCTCAGGTAGCCGTGGAAGTGGTGCCTCCGTTCTCAACAACACTTCGGCCTTTACACGTTACTCTTTACGTCAAGAACTATTAAAAAGTGAGCGTAAATATCCCAGCCTCGGTGTAATGGACACGCGTTAAATTACTTGATGTGAGAAAATCTATCCAGGAAACGGTACTTACAGTGTGGATGTATTTTTTTTTTCCGGGGTAGAGTCCACCCGGGTATAGGTCATCAACCCATAACGGGGCCTAGGGGGCCCAAAAAATAAGAGTAAAAAGAAATTAAAAATAGAAAAGAAAAAGACGAAATTAATCTACACCATGAAGATGCCGGAAAACCATCTTTTTAAAGTGAGACAGTTTGTAAGAGTATTGTTACACAGAAGAGGCAGAGCATTCCACAGTTTGGCTGTGTGAGGAAAGAAGGATGTACTATAACGGGTTATTCCAGTGTGACCGACAGCCACAGAGAAACTGTGGGCACCGCGGGCAAGACGAGTGTTACGAGCCCACGGCCTTGCCGGCGGTACACAGAATGCTAAATCCACAGAACATTGCCAGTTAAAGTACCTGTAAAAGAGAGAGTGTGAAGCAATATTAAGGCGAAGAGAAAGGGAAGAAAGATTGTCAACTGAAGGAGGAGAGTTAATAAGACGAAATGCCTTTGATTCCACCCTATCTAACAGTTGGACAGAAGAAGAGCCACCCCCAGATATGAGAGCAGTACTCCAAGTTAGGACTAATGAATCTTTTATAAACTTGAAGCAACTGCTCAAGAGTGAAGTAACTACGGCATCTGTACAGCATTCCCAGCTTTCGGGAGGCAGCTTTAGCATTGTTGTGCATGTGTGGCTTCCATGACATATTAGAGGAAATGGTGAGATCTAGCATATCATTACACTTTTAATAATTAAGTTTTGAATATGCAGTACAATATTTCTATTTGCACCATACTAAGTATAGAAGGTGTTAATGGTGCTTGAGAGAACGCTAAGGAGGTTTCCATAAATTTATGGCATGAACTTACAGCCATTTACATGCACCCAAAATATTCTCATCCCCATAAATAATGACACCAAGCAGCCGTTTACCCAACACAACCATCCTTAGGTGGCAGCACACTGGCCAATTTCCTCCCAACATGTTACCCGTTTTTGCTGGCCGTTGACGAGCTTTGCTGGCCAGATTAGTGCTCAATGAGCTTCATATTAGGTGTCGAATATTTAAGTAAGAATTTAAATAAATTATGAAAAAAATAATATTTTGAAATCTAATACAAAACGGTGACACAAAACTTCTTTAGTATTATTAAATCACTATTCGGGACTTCTTTAACCAGCCAGCCGCCGCCATTTGACAAACTTCACGATGGCATCCCCAGCACCCAAACATAGCCTTTCTTTGTCTTTTAGGAAGCTTATTTGAAGTGAATCACAGAACAAATTAATAGAGAGCGCTAGGGACTACCCTATTCACTTCACCAAAAACCTCCTGAAGAAAGCGCCTAAAACTACAGTCGAACCGTTTATTTCTTCTAAAAAGTAACGGTTCATCAAACCGAGAAAATCCCCGTGAGTTTTTCTCATGTTTATTTTATTTTTATATATATATATTTTTTTTTATGTGGAGAGCCATCATCATTACCCTACCTCCCCTCCACCCTCCTCTTGCAGCAAGTGACGGCGGTGGACGGGGACGCTGGACAGTACGGTCGCCTCACCTACAGCGTGACGGGTGATGGCATTTACAACAACGGGTCGCGCTCTTGTTTCGCTGTCGACCCTGTCAACGGCACCGTCCACGTGTTGAGGGTGAGCTATAGGTAGAGACGGGGCTAATTCTCCGGCTGAGTGCAAAAAGGGCCAATATTAAAAATCATAATTTTTCAGGAGAGGCAAAAGACGATTTCAGTTTTGATTATAAATCAACCTTTAGATATATGTTTCCGACGTAAATTCAGCTAGAAGCTCCACTATTAGAGAACTTTGTGTTTATAGTACGTCCCTAACGCCAACCGGAATTGTCATTAGAATGTCATTAAAGTGACATTGGTCCTTTTTGCATTAAGGTGATCTGCAGTTTTGAGTGCCACAATATACAGTCCATCGGTCGTTTTGTACCTGAAAAACTGTAGCAATTCTTATTATGTTCTTGAATGTTGTAAGTGTTCATAAAGTAGGAAATGGACGCAGAAAGGGTGTTTTCATTTATTCAAGCAAAAATATACAAAACTTCACTTATAATGGCATGCATATTTGCCATTGCAGTTTCACCTGCATTGCAGGTTACTTAAACCTGTTATCAAACGTATAACATTATTTAATTAAGTAAAGCTGCGTTCACACTAGTGTAATAAATCCACGATAGTATTTCATCCACAGGCAATAAATCAACGATACGATCCACACACTGGTCACTGGCGAAAGGAACCATTGGCCAGGCGCCCAGCTCACAGGGCTAGTTTGAGCTTTAGTGAGATGTGTGGTCCTGTTAAAGAGGACCAAGACGAAAAAGAAACGATTGTTGCGTCCAAGCGATGTTTTTTTACAAAAGTGACGCAAGGACTCTAGAGTCAAATGAAATTCCCGTCGTGATGTATTCTTATGTTTTTTATTTACTTTGACATTTTTGCTTTTGTTTTTATTAAAATACACTTTTTTATATTTTTGTACACTTTAACATTAATAAGAAAAAATAAGAAGTGTAAATTTTATTAATACAATACTCTCTCTATACCAAATGTCAACCCACCATACCTTGGATTTTCAGACGCTCAGTATCGTCCCACTTTCGACAACAAATAAGTTGTCGGTGCAGAGACAACTTAAGGAGTTCGTTGAAAAATCTATGCTACTGTATATTTATTCTGGGAAGAAACTCTAGTGTGACCGCAGCTTATTTTACTGAATTTATGTTATAAAACTATGAAAACCCAGGAATTGTAAACAAAATTGTAAAACTATTTTTTTGCAAAAATAGATTGCAATATAATAAAATACGCACAACACGTGATATTTCAGCACGAACAAACTTCCATTAGCTACTAGACATCTTAAATCTCCATCTACTGTGGTCCACCATCATGATCACTTTCACTCTACCTTCTGAAATATAAGGAAGATCATGAGGTCATACCATTTTTCGCTGGTATCTTTCGTTTAGAATCTAAACTTTAGATTGTATCCAGTGAACCAGCGAAATCTGTCCTGCCCTTCCTTTGATGTTAAGATCGGTTTGACATTAGTCCAAAGCATCTTGTCCACTCGCAATACCAGTGGAGATAGAGACTGGTCCTTCTTGCACTAAAATGTACTTCACTTAAGATATTGTCTCATGGGCCAGTCAAAATTGGCTTCTTTTTTTTCAACCTTGACCCTTTTTGCACTGAGCCGGAGAAATATAATAACATTGTAATTATAACTGAGCACCATTACGGTGTATTCACAATCGTAATTGTAATCAAAATAACAAATCTATATAACCGTAATCTAATCATAATCCAATGTTTCAATCAATCTTTAATCATATTGTAATCATACTCTAGCTTTATCTATAGTTTGTAATCGTAATATACCCAAAAAATCGTCTTAAACTACAGTGGGTTTCCCGACTTGGTACACTGTAGGCTACTGAGGGGAGGGGGGGTGGGGATTCCCACCATACAAGTGATTTACAAAATGTCAATTTACTTACAGGATTGCAGTACAGTCAAAGTTTTTCAGCCACTCTGAATTCTCTGTTAAGTCAGCTTGTCGCGTTGTGACTAATGTAATCTATAACCATATAATCTAGCAACACTGACCAGTGACCTGTAGCAGTAGGCTACTATGTTGCCTCAACTGCTTCTCGACCACCATAGGTCCTTCATGCCCTTGTACCTGCAAGGCTTGGCTCCACCTATTCTCAGTAATTTTGATCCACCCACTTCAGATGTCAGTGTTCAAGTCAAAACGGAATTTTTTAGTTGATTCTTATTATATACATTCTGTATAATCATTTATTTTCCAATTTCGTGTAGCTGTAATCAAGAATGTAATTTTAATCCGGGAAATCATAATCGTAATCAAATGTATTGAAATAATTGTAATGTAATCAAGAAAATTCATTAATCGTTATCTGAAATATTGATATTTGGATTGCGCAATCGTAACCGCAATCAAGAAAATTTTAAATTTAACATTTTAATCATTATCGTAATCAAAACATATCATAATCGGCCTCATATCTGGCTACTTACAGTATGTAATTTATATTTCAGTAAAGACGCTACCTCAGGTGTTCAGAGGTGTGGGAGTTCACTTGGTGGGTCTTCCAACTACATTTGTTTAAGTTTGTTGTATTATTAGATCCCCGTAATCCTGACACTTGTAGCGGCTCCCCAGAGAGTAAAAATACAGAATCTTTCCTTAGAAAATAAGAGAAATGAAGAAAGTTCTCGGGGGCGGGGGGGAGGGGGGGTTAATATATATTTCAAGGCCAGTGTCTCTTCCTCTGAATGACGCGTAATCTTTTCTACTTTTATTCGTATCAGTGTTTATGATGCATCTGCGGCCACTATTAATATATATTTTATTATATATATATATATATATATATATATATATATATATATATATATATATATATATATATATATGTAGATCAATGAAAATGAATAAGATAAATCTTGATAAATGGGATTTTATAAATATATATATATATATATATATATATATATATATATATATATATATATATATATATTGCAAAATAGCTTCATAAACTTTCTTTGATGTCTCACCAACTTTCCTCCTTCCTTCCAACTTATCGCTCCTGACAATAACCAAGTCCATCTTGTCCATAAGTAATGCCGCTATGTGAAGGTGAAGTAGCAGTGCCTAGCCTTTTCTTTGTACAACTTCTGTGTTTCTCTTCTGTCAACTGATATTTTCTCTTTGTTTTACCTGTAATATCTAAAGAGCTGGTAGAGAAATAGGAATTTAGGTGAGTTGATAAATTGATGTATCGACATAACTAAGTTGAGAAGCAGGAGAGAGAGGAAGACTGCAAGGGAGAGACTAATGGAGAGAGAGACTGTAAGAGAGAGGGGAGGGAGACTGGAAGAGAGAAGGTGATTGGGAGAGAGAGAAAGAGGGAGGCTGCAAGAAAAAGAGGAGACTGCAAGAGAGAGGGGAGGGAGAGAGAGAGAGACTGCAAAAGAGAGGGAGACTAATAGAAAGAGAAAGAATATGAAACAGACGACCTCTGTCAACAGTCTCGTAGCTTCACGACTCAGAGAACCTGACAGGCCTTCCAAACACCCCCGAAAAAACTGCCTCATATTTTGTCTTCTATTTGTTCGAACTGTCCACTCCATTTCTTACAGAGAGACTTCAGGGTGGCTGTCTATGGCTCTCATGTATCCTCACATTCAGCTTTTGGAAGACTGTATATTTAAATGCGCTATTGGTGATGTTGGTCTACTAGTGAAGGTTTACCGTGTGTGTGTGTGCAAGTTGTGCAGCGTTGAGAGTCCAGCTTTTACTGATAGAACTCAGGGATTGAGAGGACGACAGGCTTCTGAAGAGCTGACGAGTTAGTTGGCTCTTCAACTGAGTGAACTGATTTTTTTTTCTTCTTGAGGATAGGTTTGTGTAGGTCCACCCAGAGATCCTTCCGTCTAAACTTGCTATAAAACCTATTTTCGTTCGTTAGCGCTCCAATCACAACTCTTTGTATATTATGCACGCTTGTTTCTGAATGGACTGATTGTTAGTTGAGGCGGTTAACGAGGGAAATAATTGACACTGGTTAGGTGAATATCTGGCCAAGTGGATCTGTGGCACAACACCCTGATCACGTTACTAGTGGACTTAATTATACTCCAAGTTATGATTGTGTTCATATTATGTTGCATCAAATACCTCTACTGTCAAAACATTCTTACAGTCTTATTACGGTTCATTGACGACTATCCAAGCCTACAGAGAGAGAGAGAGAGAGAGAGAGAGAGAGAGAGAGAGAGAGAGAGAGAGAGAGAGAGAGTATAATGAAAAAGAAGTTATATTGCTGCTAGAATACAAAAAAAAATGGGAGAGTTAACCCCCTCCCCCCAGTGTGTGTGTGTGTGTGTGTGTGTGTGTGTATGTGTGGTAATTATGACGTCAGTGTAAGAGGTGGAGGCAAACGCAGCGGCAGGACGATTCTCGACACATCTTGGTGTTGTTCACTTTTTCTTATTTAATACGTTCTTTTTTGTCTATCTTTCTCTCTCACATTTATATCTTGTTTCTTTCATAGTTTGCTTTTACTGTACTTACATTTTTCAATTCTCTTTATCTCTCTCCGTTCCTTTCTCCTCGTCTCCCTTGGTCCCACCCTCTCGTTCCCCGTTTATCTCTTTCGTTTCCTGTTTCTCTCCATTCCTTTTCCCTCACAACATTCCTTACTCTTTTACCTCCCTTTCCGTTTCACTTCCTTTCCCTTTCAATCCCTGTCCCTCCCGCCCTCTTTTCCTCAATCCACCCCCTCTCTCTCTCTCTCAATACCTACCTTCTTTTCCTTCCTCTCCCTCACTCTCTACCTTCATTTCCCTCTCTCCCTCAATTCTTCCCTTCCTTCTCTCTCTCTTTTCCTCCCCGATCAACTCGCTCTCTCCATATAATTACCTTCAGGTATTCAAGCTCACTATTGACATCCGCTCATTTTTTTTTTTTTTCTAGCGCGACTTCATATTTCTCTTTTAATGTGTCCTCTCCCTATTTTTCCCAGCGTGTGAGAGCGAGAGGTTTCTCCCTTCCCTTTTCTCAGCGCGGGAGAGCGACATTCTCTCTCCTTTTTACTCTCCCAACATGTGAGAGTGTGAGAAACTGTTTTCCATTCTCCCAGCACATCATTATCGTGTATTTGTGGGTGTTGACTGCAGGAGCTAAGGTCTTCATCACAGGCAAGTAGAGGCCATATAGTTACCGTCGTGGCGAAAACTTTTATGGTATCATTGGTGCTGAAATGACGTCGACGGACAATCCTTTTACTTGGTTATATATTGTTGTGTAAGATGTGATTGGCTGCTTCCTTTGGTTGGCACTGTGATAGGCTATTTTTTCTCTAGCATTGTGATTGGATCTTTTTCCTGGCACAGTATGTTGGCTGATACCTTGGGAGGCAGTGTGTGTTTGGTTGGTTCTCTGGGATAGCAACAAGAGAATATGCGACTGATTCGTCCTCAGTATGAAATGCATCACTGGCTGATACTTGTAGAGCAACACACTGATTAATTGGTTTTCTTGGAGGTAAACATATGAGTGGAAGATGTTTTATGTAACGTATGTAACTAGCTAACACCTCGGTAGTACGGTTATAATCCTCTGTCTACCACACTAATCCCCCCCCTCCCCTTTCTCTCTTTAGCCCCTGGACAGAGACCCCCCCAACGGACAGGCTCAGTGGCGGCTTCAGGTGACGGCGACGGACGGACAGCTGGAGACGCAAACCGACGTACGCGTAAACCTGAAGGACATCAACGACAACGCCCCTTACTTCCCTTCCCACACCGTCATCGCTTCCGTCTCTGAAGATACGCCTAAAGGTACTTAGCTCAGACTTAGGAGTCCCAGAAGTACGTGGTCCAGAGTTATGTGGCCTAGAGGTGCTTAGCTCAGACATACGTGGCCCAAGGGTACGTAGCTTCATCTCCCACACAACCACTACCATCTCAAACACCACACAATGTGACTGGTCTTTACGGACAAGTCTACTTCATTAATACAGGAATATGGTTGTGGCACCATCTCTCAGGAGTATTTTCAACTGTGAAGGTAATCATTGGCATAACAATTATTTATCGTTTTGCTCAGGTTAAGTATCCAAGTTGTTAATGATCCGATATCGTAATGATGTCATCTTCTGCCATAGGAAGTGGATAACGTTACGATATCGGTTTGTTAAGGCGATAAGGGTAAAACACCAGTCACTCACAAATGAATAACGTATTTAGCTCTAGATGTCTTCACGTTATCAACTACCTTGAATAAAAGCTGATGAATTTATCCAAACGTAATCTGATAACCATAACTCACCCAAGGTGAACATTTATAAGTAGAAAGGCGGAGACTGTAATCGTTTTGTGCTGTGCTAAGAGAGACTTTTCCACTGCTACGGTTAAGCGGTTTAACTAGAATATCATCCTTGGGTAAGAATTCTCCACACTTATGGGAAAATGTTGACTCGAGTGACAAATAATATTGAATACTTGAAAAAAAATCATTTTATTTATCTTAGCTGAAATAGAAGTCTTCTATCGGTTACAAAGGTTAAAGGAATGAAAACTTTTGTCTGCGAATTCTGTAAAAATAATTACCGGTAAGAGGAGAATGTTTATATAATACTTTAGTAAATATTAATGAAGCCTAATGATTATATGCCACAACATATTTTTTTATCAGTAAGCCCACAAATATTTTCACTGTTCAAAAATCATCCTTTCGAGGAGCATAATAGTTTGTACACTTGTCGTATGTACAGTCTCGTTCAAGATTCTTCAAACACTGCTGGAGACAGCTAGCAACTCAAGGCCGTTTGTTTACTATAGTACGTAGTAAAAATTATGAAAGAATGTAAAAGGTTATCGGTGATTGGTTACTTAGTTCCCTGTTGCTTAATTAATGGTTGGATTTTGTTGTTTCGTATTTTATTATACTACGTACTATAGTAAACAAACTGCCTTGAGTTGCCAGCTGTCTCCAGTAGTGTTCGAAGAATCTTGAACGAGACTGTACATTACAAAGGAAGAGTAATTGACTCACCCAGTTGGGTCTTAAGTGTTGAAAATTGCCTCTGACCTGATCTATGATGTGTTGTTGTGGCTTTATTGAAGAAAAAAGTTCAAGTTACTGTATGAGAATAATAGTAATTTTATATGTAATGAGTTTTGTGATGTTTACATTATATTCCTGTCTTTTTTATACTCAGAATATCAACAAACATTATACAGTAAGTAGATGTGATCACTCGGGCTGATATTGATGACTAACCTGCCGACGCGTTATTTGTTTTGAAATTTATATTCTTACTATATTTTCACCATAGAGTTCTGATATGATAATATATATATATATATATATATATATATATATATATATATATATATATATATATATATATATATATATATATATATATATATATATATATATATATATATATATATATATATATATATATATATATATATATATATATATATATATTTATTTATTTATTTATTTATTTTATTTTATTTTTTTTTGGAATACTTTGTTTGGTAGATAATTATGCGACTAGGGGCGCACTACTTTGTCTTTCTCGGCGGTAATGCTGCCGAGACGGAGCATCCCCGCTTATCTCATTGACAGCTCTGATCGACGTCAGTGTATGGGCGGGCGGCTGCTCTCACGTCCACAAAAAACGTAAAATTACACCATATCATAGTAAGTTCTTTCTGTTTAATATGTCGGGGGATCCAGGAGGCAGAGCCCCGCGGCTAGAAAGTTGGGTAAGTTTAGGTAGGTTTCTTTGTGGTTAGGTTGGTGAGGTCTTCTAACAACACTTCTGGCACTTGTTTTCTTATCAACTAAGGTTAGGTTTAGTTTGGAAATAAACACTTTTTAACACGTTTGCCAAAACTACGAGTGTCAATTATGAAACATAGTGAAATGGCGGCGTTTTAAAAATATTTTTCTATGAAAAATCAGTGGTGGGTCAGTTGTCAATAATTTCCGATCACTCCTTTCTAACATTGTAATAGGCTAGAGAATCACGAATATCATATTTGTAATGAAAAGTCTTTCTCGGATCATTTAGGTGTCTCAGATGAATCATATAGTAAATTTAAACGTATAACTGAATCACCAATTTCTCTACTTGAGTTTTGTATAATTTAAAGGATGTGCCAAATAGTCTTATTTATCAGAAAATTCTCCTCGGAAATGCTGGATGGATTTCACTAAAATTTTGCTCATAAGAAGAGTGAACTGTACCTATGCTTTCCCTCATCTGTGTTAGAAGTGTCACAGTTTGCACCGTGATATCATAAGGTGGACAGGAGTCAGACGTCACAGAAACACTTGCTGATTTTCCTCTGTTGTTCTTTATCTGACCGTGTGGTGGCCTAACCTAACCTAACTGACTAACTGAAGCAAATAACTCGATCAAATGAAGGTTTGGACATAACACTACAAAAATAAAAGGCTTTACTGAAGCTAATCATGTAAACAAACAGAAGCCATGGATGGGTGACACTCTTAGCACTGACTGATTGAGGCCAATAACATGACTAAGTAGAAAAACTTTTATCATGTGAAAACATAACAAAACCCACCATACCCAGAGATTGTTTAATGTCTTTTTGTGCTTAAAAATATCTTTCTTTTTTTTATTTGCGTTCGACGATTTGGTGACGAAGTTACATAACTGACTTTGCATATCAATAATAGTAATTGTTCTCCTTGTGGACTTATGTGGCCTCCGCCTGACCCCGTGGAACTAAATTACTTCCTGTATTGACCAGGAATCGTCCATCTTCAATTTGCACCTTGATGTCCGTCCACTTACAGGTGCGTCTGTGGTACAAGTAGTGGCCAGGGACCACGACGACCCCCTAGAGGCGGACAACGCCAGGGTGACGTACTCATTGGAAAAGAACGCTGTCGATGAGTCGTCCGGCAGTGCCATCTTCAACATAGACAGTCAGCTGGGACTCATCACCACAGAGCTTTGTTGCCTCGACCGCGAGAAGACCCAGCGCTACACCATCCAGGTGGTAGCTACTGACGGTGGTGGCCTCAAGGGTGAGTGTATGCACGAAGGAAAAAGTATATATACTAATATATAAAAATCCTCTTATCTGTTGAATGTTCTCACTCTTGATAACTTATACAGTTAGCGTGAGAGTGAATGATGTGAAGGTCAACAATGTCTAACATAAACTCTAAACTCCCCGAGACTTATGTAAAGTGTGTAATGTCTTTTGTCTCCTTAAACACCCCCCCCCCCCAGGTACAGGGACGGTGGTGGTGGAAGTGGAGGACGTGAACGATGTGCCGCCAAGGTTCTCGCGGCCTGAATGGACATTGGACGTGTCGGAGAGTCTCACCCCCGACCAAGTCCTGGCCACCCTCACTGTCGTCGACCAAGATGTCTCCAACAACTTTTTCTACAGGGTCAGTACCTCCTCCACACTCACTCTTAACGGGCCAGTACCTCCTCCACACTCACTCTTAAAGGGTCAGTACCTCCTCCACAGTCACTCTTAACGGGCCAGTACCTCCCCCACAGTCACTCTTAACGGGCCAGTACCTCCTCCACAGTCACTCTTAACGGGCCAGTACCTCCCCCACAGTCACTCTTAACGGGCCAGTACCTCCTCCACAGTCACTCTTAACGGGCCAGTACCTTCCCTACAACCTGACATCCGATAATTTAAGGCTTTGGCCGCCATTAGTTTAAGGGTCTGGTCTCCATTAGTTTTGGGGTCTGGCTTCCATTAGTTTAAGGGTCTGGCCGCTATTCATTTAAGGGTCTGACCGCCATTATTTTGGGGGTCTAACCTCCATTAGTTTAAGGGTCTGACCGCCACTAGTTTAAGAGTCTGGTCGCTGTTAGTTTAAGGGTCTGGTCGCTGTTAGTTTAAGGGTCTGGCTGCTATTAGTTTAAGGGTCTGGTTGCTATTCGTTTTAGGGTCTGGCTGCTAATAGTTTAAGGGTCTGGCCGCTAATAGTTTAATGGTCTCGTTTCTATTAGTTTAAGGATCTGGCCGCCATTAGTTTAAGGATCTGGCTGCCATTAGTTTAAGGATCTGGTCTCCATTAGTTTAAGGGTCTGGCCTCGTTTAGTTTAAGGGTCTGGCAGCTATTCGTTTAAGGATCAGGCCCCCATTAGTTTAAGGGTCTGGCCTCGTTTAGTTTAAGGGTCTGGCAGCTATTCGTTTAAGGATCAGGCCCCCATTAGTTTAAGGGTCTGGCTTCCTTTACTTTAAGGGTCCGGCTGCCATTAGTTTAAAGGTATGGCTGCCATTAGTTAAAGCGTCTGGCCGATATTAATTTAAGGGTCTGACCTCCATTAGTTTAAGGGTCTGGTCAATATAAATTTAAGGGTTTGACCTCCATTGCTTTAAGAGTCTGGCCGCTATTAATTTAGGGTCTGGCTTCCATTAGTTTAAGGGTCTGGGCGTTGTTTGTATGTTAATCACAAAATACCCCTGATTGCTCACAGTTGTACATACCCCTGGACTATTTTAAGAACCTTACTATTCTGATTCTGTAATACAAGTCCCTGAACTATTATGTTTGTTACAGGTTAATATATGGCGTGAGTCTAATGGTTATAGATGAAAAAAAGATATTAATACTGTGCTCCCAACTGGTTAGGTCTCGTCAGGCCTTGGGTGGCAAGTGTTAACGGTTCTTTTGTAAGGTGTTTCCTGGTAAGTATATGCAAATTTGTGTCCCCTAGGTGGTGCCTGGCAGTGGTGATGGGTGGCAGATGTTTGTGGTGGAGGAACGGAGTGGTGGAGTGCCAGGGGGGGAACTGAGAGCCGTGGAACCTCTAGACTACGAGGATCCCCAACACAGACAAGAGTTCCGCTTCCAGGTGCAGGTCACGGACATGGTAGGTCATGGTTACCTGTCAGTGTCTCGCCCTGTACGTGTTTGCCTTAAATAACTTGCCAGTGTGAACTACGTAAATACGTGTCTTACGTTAACTCCCTGGTGGGCAGTGTATCTCTCTCTCTCTCTCTCTCTCTCTCTCTCTCTCTCTCTCTCTCTCTCTCTCTCTCTCAGTAAAGGTAGTGTTTTTCACAGTAATTGTTTTAGTATCAAATGTGTTGTTTATAGAACGGTATAATTTAACGGTGAGAATTTGTGGTATCAATTTTGTAATGATGAATTTAAAACTTTAACATTCCAACAGTCAGTTTATAATTAAGATCCTCATTAATTGAATTGCATGTCATCACGAGTTGTCGATCTCTGATTGGCTGGTCAGGTCAGTTTCCGATCGTGACGTCAGGTGGGATTACGTTTTGTGCCAGCGGCTGTTGAAACATTTTCGTTTCGGGAACTAAATTGTTATGTATTTATATATTAATAAATTTCCCGGTTTACTTACAATACCTGGCATCCATTGAGGTCGCATATATAACTGCTTTATGGGAGGTGAACGTTACTTAGCATTATAAATTTTGTCAGGGTAATACAATGGAAAATCTTAGTAAATAGCCTAAGAAAATATCAGCCCCTTTGTCCTATTGACCCTCATGTTCATGTCAGCTATTGACCCATGTCCTGATTGTACATGACAGCTGGAGCTTTATTCAATGTAAAATATATAACTAAAAAGAATATTGTTTGTTCAGGTACGAAACAATATATATATATATATATATATATATATATATATATATATATATATATATATATATATATATATATATATATATATATATATATAATATTATCTAGCTAAGGTGATAAGTAAAGGAAAATATATGTAGCATTAAGTACAAGACAGTATGTAAGTACTGTACAGGTACCCTCATATATTACTAACTGTTGAATGCCCAGTTAAAAGTGCTTAACACACTACTATCACATAATTCTTACACCAACAACCAGTGAGTACACACGTCCAGTGTGCACCAGCACTGTGTATTGATAAGTCCAGTGATCACACCTATAATAGTGTGTACAAACGTCTAGTGTACACGGACGCTACTCTGTACACATAGTAAGTATAAACCACCCAGTGTGTATACAGTATGTCCAGTGTAAACCAATATCTAGTGTACACACACGTTCGACGTGCACCAACATTCAGTATGTACACAAGTCCAGAATGCACCAACTTCCAGCATACACACACTTCCAGTGTGCACACACGTCGGACGTGCACCAGCATCCAATGTGCACTGGTATCTGGCATGCACCAACATCCACTGAACACATCCAGCAAACACCAATAGCCAGTCGCCCATTGATACATAGACACACGATAGTGATGTACTTTAACGTTAACGTGTTTTTATTTTCGAAGCTACAGCATGTTTCCCAGAGTTGTTAAGAAATTAAAACTCATACCTGACATTCCGGAACACTACACGGAGATTTGAGAATTCTTATATACCGTAAAGTGAGGTACAATATGCAAACTCCTGAGATTGAAGATTGTTTACATTTGTGTGTGTGTGTGTGTGTATGTATCTGAGTCTGTGTTTTAAAAAGTTTTCCCTTTAGAGTTGCTCCGAAAACTTTAAACTACCTCCCGCAGTTACCAGACAATACATGTAGACATAAATGCGTTTACAGCTCTTGTAAAACGCCAGCGAGTTAGTTTTACGTCCTGGCTATACTGTACAGGTACAAAATTTTAATCTCCGCGGGGCGAAAAGTAATTCTCAAAAGCGATTCACAGTTTTTTGTATTTTCCGAGTCAGCGACTTCATGCTGTTGTCTTTCTACTGACTACTACACCTGCTTGTGTTCTACATCAATTATTGTAATTGTTATTATCATTATTATTATTATTATTATTACTATTTTTATTATTATTATTATTATTATTATTATTATTATTATTATTGGATAACAGAATCATTAGACATTAAGTACTTTAATTATATAGACTAATTTCACACACACACACACACACACACACACACACACTACTTTGCTGTCACTCGAAATCGAGTATGACGAGCATCCAGCTATGATACAATGATAATGAGTTATTAAGGATGTCACCTTCGTTGGTGAGCTCTGAAGTGACTCGAGAAGCCGATACAGGACCGGTAGGGCCGTCCACAGATGTGGCACGTATGGAGGGCTACATCTAGTGTGGGAGGGGCGGTGGCAACGTCTTTTCGGCGCTGGCGCTTGTCTGCCCTGGTATGCAGTCGGGCTAAGTCGAAAGTATTGACACCTCGAGTGGTGCTCCTCCAAGCGTTACGGTGTGTAGTGATCGTCTCCCAGGTGATGGGGTCGATTTTGCATTTTTCAGGTTTGTCTTAAGACTATCCTTATACCTTTTCAGTTGCCCGCCAGCGTTACGTTTACTATGCGTTAGGTGACTGTAAAGTAGCTGATTTGACAGTCTACTGTCGTCCATGCGGGTAATATGGCCAGGCCAACGTAGTTGTTCATCTGATCCGATGCTGAATCTCTTCATCGATGTCCGCGGTGGTCGACACGTGGGAGCCGAGATACTGAAAGTGGATAACGTTAGAGAGGGTAGTACCGTTAAGCTGGATGGATGGTGGAGGTGTGGCTGAACCAGGGGCAGGCTGAAAGAGAATCTGAGTCTGAGGTACATTCACCTCAGCCGAAATGTGCACACGCATCTGCGTAAGTGTTCAGGACACACACACACACACACACACACATTCTGATTATAGGAAGCAGTATTTATTTTCTCTCGCGGGATAAAATAATATTCTTAAATTCATAATGATATAGTTTTTCCTAGCTCATTAAACACCAGCAAGTCATTAAAAGTGGATGAATACAAACTAGTAAGTGCAGTGTGGTACTAAGAGAAACGTAATGTGCTTAGGTAGTTATTATTTATGACAATTCTGATTCGGTGGTAAAATGTTGGTCCACATATTGCTTAGTGTATCGAATCTATTATTACAGTAATATTGAGGAGGTAGCTGTATTTTTTTATTCTTTTGCGCAGTCTTAAATAATGTAGTTAAAGATTTCTAATAGATTAATAGAGGTGATTGATAAAACTTGAAATAAGAGATAGATAGATAGATAGATAGATAGAAAAAAGTGCGACGAAAAAGTGACGGCTGGTAAAGAAAAACCTGCTTTTATTTCCCGTGTTTGTGCACAAGGCTTAAACGTTCATATGTTGGTTTTAACGAAGTGTAGCGGACATTAAAAATTTGTACAGCAAAAGATTAACTCTGATTCTATTAACAACGAGAAAAACATATCCCACAACATTAATGAACTATTTTCGTGCGTGGATATACACCATATCTTTCCCTCTTCAGCTTGTACTGCTTACTATTTTAACACCTTTGGCGTGTGTTATTATATACAGAATATACTGTTATCTTATTATTTTTTGCTGTGATTGAATATTATTAATAGTTTTGATTTAGGACTTCGTTACTGACCTCTTTTATATAGTCAGAGTATGTGTTTTTCTTTCTTTGTGAATGTGTGCAAAATATTTTTTTTTACACATACGAGTCCGATTTAGTCATAATATGCATTCACTGTGAGTTTCGGCGTTCAACAGCGTACAAACCAAACCTAACCTAAGATCTTTAAGTTTGGGGTTTGCTGTTATTCACGATTTCTTTGACATGTATACACTGATATTGAAGCAGCTTATTTTGCCTTGAAAAATACAGATACACCGTGGACAATAAGGACAACATTGATGTGCCCGAGCCAATTGAGAGCCTGAGTCCTCTTAGTGGCGCCTGATATACTCGTATACTGTACATTTATCTCAGTGCATTATAACATTTAGTGTCATCTGTAAAAGTGAATTGAGAACAGAACCCTGGTTGGTAATAAAAGCATCTACAGGGTATTTCCAGTATATATAGCACAGTGTGGCGGCCCAAGTTTATGGTCGTCCAAAGATTATTATCGGAAACTCAGGTTGCGAGGTTCAAAATTTCTTATCTTAAAATTTTCATCTTAACCGTGTTTGAGAGAAGGGAAGGGGGAGCAGACAGCTAGTATGGTACACTCACTGTGAAGGCCGCCATATCTGTGTAGTTATTTAAGTGAACACAATAGATAAATCTCACGTCATTAATTTAGGGAGAGAATGACTGGTATATCGCTGATAATTCAGAGTGAGAGTCTGAGACACCCAGTTTATACAATGTAGTCTCAAAAACTTTAATTTAGGAGAAGAGGTTACCTAAAAGACGAGTTAAATGTACTTTAAGATGAGGAAGCAACGAACTATAAACCATCTGATCTTTATCGTGTGTGTGTTTATGAATTGGTTTCTCTCCCACTAGGGTGAGGAAGGGTGGGGTGTAGTCGGGCACGTAGCAGAGACGTGGGTGACGTTGCGAGTGGTGGATGTGAACGACAACGACCCCGTGTTTAGCGAGGACCTCACCCGTCTCACCCTGCCGGAGGATACACCGCCGGGCACCCTCCTCACCACCTTCACCGCCCTCGACCCTGATCACGTAAGGTTCTCCTTTGCTAAATTGGACCCTGTTTACCCTGATCTTTGTTCCCATCAACTCATGTTAGTGCAGGTGATTCATTAAGAAATAAAGCACAGCTCTGTTTATATTTTAGGGCTAATTATCTTATTCTAGGAATTAAGAACAAATCCCGTACACTCAAGGACTAAAGTCGTGGTCAGCCGCACAGTACCTACACTAGTGACCTCTGGCAATGAATAAAATCGTAAGTTAAAACTGTGATATGATAAAAATAAAATAAGAAGTATCATAAGTTTCAAAATAAAAAATAAAATAAAATAAAATACATGTGCTTAAATACCCTTATTGCAGTTAAAAAAAATCAATGCCAGAGTTCACGAGTGTAGGTTAATGTGGCTGCACACGATTTTAGTCCTAGAGCGTGCAGTTCGTCGCTGTTTTCACAAACTGGCAAATATACAATTCTCAAAACTAGAAAATGGCATATTTGCCGGTTTGTGAAAACAGCTTCTTCTTGGAAGCATGCCTTGATTCAGCTCATCCCTAAGAAGGGAGACCATTCTAATCCCTCTAACTATCGCCCCGATGCCCTAACTTTATCCCTCTCTACGATTTTCGGAACTAATCTTAAACTCGCATTTTCTCCGTCATCTTGAATGCCTTTCTCTTTTGTCGGATCACCATTATGATTTCTGCCATAAGAGATCTACTGGTGATCTGTTCCCCTACTGCACCCATCCTTGATCATCCTCTCTTATGGATTATGAGGAAACCTTTGTCGTGGCCCTCAACATCTCCACGGTATTTGCTTTCTAAAATTCCTTCATATGGTTTCTCTCCTCCACTCTATTTTTTAATTTATAACTGCTTTGAGAACCGATCCATGGCAGCTGTTGTCGAGGGTTCGATATCTCGCTCTACCAGCACTGGTGTTCCACAGGGTTCTGTTTTTCCAGCTGCATGACTCCTGAGCAGTTCTCCTGAGCAGTTAGTTCAGGTTTATAAGAGATTCATCCTTCCTAACCTTGAATGCTGCTCTCATATCTGGGGTGGCTCTTCTTCTTTCCAACTGTTAGATAGGGTGGAATCAAAGGCATTTCGTCTTATTAACTCTCCTCCTTCAGTTGACAATCTCTCTCCCCTTTCTCTTCGCCGCAATGTTGCTTCACTCTCTGTTTTACAGGTACTTTAACGAGCTATGTTTGGTGGATTCGGCATCCTGTGTACCGCTTGCAAAGCAGTGGGCTCTTAACACTCGTCTTGCCCGTGGTGCCCACCGTTTCTCTGTGGATATCGGTCGCTCTAGATTAACGTTATAAATTTATAGTACATCCTTCTTTCCTCACATAGCTAAACTGTGGAATGCTCTGCCTTCTTCTGTGTTTCCATCCTCTTACAATCTGTTTCGCCTCAAAGAGCTGGTTTGCCGGCATCTTCGGGATGTAGAGTAACATGCTCTTTTTATCCTCTAATTTGTATCCCCCCCCCCTCCGAGGCCCCGTTGTTGGTCGACGATGACCTATACCCGGGTGGGCTCTTCCCCATTAAAAAATAAAAATAAAAAGTAAAGGTAGAGAAATTATCAGACGGAGACAGTATCATGAATGTAGTGCCTTAATCTATACTGTACAGTATGCGTGACCAAAGTCAAATTAGGTACCTGTTTACTTGTATTTTTTTATAGATAATGTAAATTTTATGGATGGAATACGTGTTACAGCTGCACTGATAACGATGACTAATACCAGTTTGTATGTGTTTTATACTGGTGTTTAAACAATGGTCAAGTAAACTAATTCCCTGGTTTCGTCGAGTTGTTCACCATAGCCTGGGATAAAGAATAGCAGAATTGTTTGTACAATGTACTTCTTTTGTTAGTGACATTTCATTCCTTTATATATATATATATATATATATATATATATATATATATATATATATATATATATATATATATATATATATATATATATATATATATAATGAGAGAAATATAGTTTCTCCAGTTTTATTTTCGTCATATATTAAATCGAAGATTCAGTCCAGGTCACTCAAACATCATATATAATGTTTTTCGTGCTCCTGGGGACACACACACACACACTCTCTCTCTCTCTCTCTCTCTCTCTCTCTCTCTCTCTCTCTCTCTCTCTTTTAACGAAGACTATATCAATAACTCTTCTCCTCCCCTTTGGGAACAGCACCCGATGAAGTGTCCAAAATGCACCCATCCCCTCCCTATATCTTCCCAGGGAGGACAGAGTCTGGTGCAGTACAAGATAGCGAAGAACAGTGACCCTGCACGGCAGTTTAGTGTGGACGGGTCAGGGGCTGTGTGGCTGGTGGGCAGCCTTGACCGGGAAACGGCAGCTACCCACAGTTTGCTGGTGTGGGCAGTGGACGATGGCGTGCCGCCTAGGACCGCCACTGCCACCCTCAATGTGAGTAATTACTGAGACATGTGTATGTGTTTCACTATCCTTGGGCCTCAGTTTAAGGAGTTATTGAAACAGCCAAATAATAGACCAAACGTTAAACATTAATGAGAACAGCGCCGATAACTGTTAAATGAAGGAAGTCACTAACACGGTGCAAAAAGTCAACTCATTGGCGCTGGACAACGTTAATTATTTTTATATTTATGGCGTTGATCATATAGACTGACAGTATAACGAGGAAGAGTTTTGGTGATAAAGGAAAAACTGTGGACTAGTGTGGGTTACATTACTCATGTGCGTGAGAGAATATCCAAATTGGCATAGATTGATAAATATTATAGTTTGTCCATTCTACTTGTGTATAAACGTGCTCTCAATGTGCCTGAGTAAAGTTTATCGAGTGAAGTACAGTCGCCCACAAAAGTCCTGTCGCCTCTTCTCCTGTTCCACGAACCCCGAGATTCAGACTCGTAAACCCGAAGAAGTAAACACTGATGCATTATTCTGTCCATAAATGCTTCGGATTCACGAGTCTGAATCTCGGGGTTCGTGTTTCAGGAAAGGCGACAGGACTTGCTGTACTGTATGTGGGTGATTGTATACATGCATGTTTTCTTTTACAATTCACATTAACAAGTTGAGCGTCTTCAACAGCTTCCTATTCTTCTTTCCTCTGGGGGACTTGTGGATTCTCTCTTCCAGTGTCTTGATGGAGTAACATTTGTCAGAAAAAAAGGAATTTGAAAATGTGATTTACGCCTGAATAATTTATAAGTGAAAGGCCCTACTCTACTGCAGTTCTAAATAATTTCACCACTGCCACACTATCAAAACCTATGAGAAATAATTACGGTTTCTATATAATTATTAAAGGGAATAGTCTATGCACTAATTCAATGGAAGTACCTGGAATAAGCGAATATTAACCAAAGATAATTTTATCTGCGACATCTATATACATCCTACCATGTACAGCAAGGCTTAGCCTATCAATCCTGCCTTGCTGCCCCGCCCAGCGTGGCGACGCCTGTGCCCCGCTCAAATGCCAAGGGGGTTAGAAGTCAATTCGGAATTTTCTCATAATTCAATCCATGCAACCCTCAGGCTCTAGTCCGCACCTGTTATCTGCCAATACCCTGGTGAGCGCAAGCCGAAGCCGTTCTAGGCCTATCCCCGGACCATGGTGTGTCCCTGAGACGCGTGTGGGCCTAACAGGGTAGTATATACGGCTACTTCCATTATACTGTATGCATCCAATTAAATATTTATATATGTTACCGCCACCCGCAGTGTTATTATTCATTAATAACATGTACTGTATGTATGTGCAATTACCTCTTTCAACGAAGCAGAAATAACAAAGGACCAATTACAAAACTGAATATACAGTCAGTGTTCAATTACTCTTTGTGATTTTACGATATCGATGATGGGGGATCTCCAGCTTCCGCCGTAAACAATGGACTGTTAATGACTAGGGTGTGTGGACATGTGTATTTCTCATAATTATAGTATACCTCAGTTAATTTTACCATATTTATTGTTCTTGTTCGTTTATTGAGAGTTTCAGGGTCCTGTAATGATGTAATTATAAACCAAGAAAGAGGGACTGAGATAATGGAAATAATTCTTAATATCGTGTATACAAGATGAACTTAATGATGATTTATGACAAATTTTTTTAATTTTAGAACTATTATATATTGAGATTCTGTTATAGTACTAAAGTGAAATTAAATGTGTGTTAGGTGAAGGTGACGGACGTGAACGACAACCCACCATTCCTGGCTGAGCCGCGCGAGGTGGTGGTGGAGGAGAACAGCGGGGCGCAGGTGGTGGCCCGGTTGAGGCTGGGGGACCCTGACGACTGGCGCCAGGGTCACGGTCCACCCTTCACCCTAGCCCTTGACCCTAGGGCGCCTCATCACGTCACCCACACCTTTACTGTCACACACGACAAGGGTGAGTTGATCCGTGCACTACACTGTGCTGCCTTACGTTCAACATAAAACTCACGCCCATAACAGTATTATGCTGACAACACTCAGTTGTCGCAGATTTATCATATAAATCACACCATTCTGGTTTTTTGTTGGGCAATAAGCTGATGAAACTGGTCTTTAATTGATATACATTTGTTTATCCACACGTAGTACGTTTTACTGTAGACACGTGCACAAATCTTCATGTGTGTGTATACAGGGCGAGTCTCAAATGTGTGCAGTAAATTTCGGGGTGTATTTCTTGAACAATAACTCTAAGGCGCAATGTCTATATGATAAAATGTGGGAAGCCGCATAGTTTCCTACCTAAAGCACTTGAAAGAGGTTGAAGTAATGATAGTGAGGATGGAGTGAAACAGCCGTAGACGTTTGTGTAATTCATTGCATAACTGTACTGTACTGTGTACACAATGTGATAGTTACGTTACTACAGTAAATGTTCAAAACTCTCTCTCTCTCTCTCTCTCTCTCTCTCTCTCTCTCTCTCTCTATATATATATATATATATATATATATATATATATATATATATATATATATATATATATATATATATATATATATATATATATATATATATATATAGTGACGTACTCTCATATGTAGTCAGTGCAGGTGCACAATTTATAACTGCGATTGTCGTTATTTCTTCCATCAGTTTTCCTTCCACTTTTTGTTTACGACATCTCAAAACTGGGTGAATATATACAAGAGACACTACACGTGATGAGGTCAAAGGAAAAGTCAGCCGCTGTTCCCTTTTTTCATTCGTTAAAAACTGCTGCAAACTTTGATATTTTTTGTGTGTTTTTTAATTCTCTAATTAGTGATATGTTTTACACACAAAAAAGTATTGTTGGACTGATGAACCTGAATATAAAAGTATGGTATAATTGATATACTCGTTGTATTTATTTTTCATTTTTTCCATCTAAATAAAAAATATTTGGATGCTGGTTAAACATACCAACACTATTTTTTTAGAATTAAAAACAAAATAATAGTTTGACATAAAGTCGTCTTTGTAGGAATAAATTGAGTTACATGGAAACCTATCAAAGCTTTTGACTTTCTGGCTTTATGATTAGCAAAAAAAGATTTGAAAAGTATTACACAAAAGGAAATTCTGTAGACCAACCAGTTTTTGGTTCTAATCGACAGCAAAAAAAAATAATATTAATGTTGACTCTTTTGTAATTTTATTTTAGGTGTTTAATTTACTTTCATGTCTAAAATATATAGTTACTTATATAATTGAATATATTATTACTAAAATAAAAATATAAAAATGTCCCCACAGCTTAGTACTTCATTACCATGTAATAATAGTGTGTATTATTCCTTTCTTTTATTTCTTCTTAATTCTTATTTCTCTATTTGTATTTATTTTTTTACTTTTACTCTTTCCCTGTTCCATAATTCTCTTTTCTTATTCTTAATCTTTTATAATTATCTTGTCTTGTTTTTAATCATTTTCTTTGTTCTTTATACTCGTGAGAGAGAGGGGGAGGGAGGAGTAAGGAAGGAGGGTAAAGGGTGGTTGAGGGAGTGGAGAGTCTGCCTGCGGTCACTTCCCCCCACCAGACGGTAACCGATATGAGGGGAGACTAAGGGGATACAACAACTTAAACAAAGTTTTTTTTTTAGTTTAACAAATTTATTGACAAAACTTGGAGTACAGTTTGCCTATTCTGAGTAATTCAGTCAGATCTTGACACTGAGGGTGGTATCACTTCTCACTGCCACGCAGGACAGAGGTTCATACACAAAGAAATACATCATATTCATTAAAAGTATATATAGGTCAGATTCATGTGGGTGATGTCACTGTTCACAGGGAAAATATGTGATGGTTCTGTTACTACTCACGGGTCACTGTATCACTGCTTAACACCAAAGACATGTATGACGAATGTTTTACTCAATATCAGGAGGGGGAATTTATGACACTTCTTAACGGTTCTTGGTTTATTGAGCACATTCTATTACGATTGACAATTACACTTCAAACAATTAACCTATTCTCCTAGCTATTTAACGGGAGTCACGTGAATTACAATACATTTCGGGAACGGATATATATCGCCCTGCTTAAAACCTGCCGACCCACGTACACAACATCTACACTTCACCAACTCTAACCAGACTCTGAGTTTGAAAGTAGCTGGCGAGATTATCGCCCGAGACCTCCTAAACAGACTTCTTCCCGAGGCGTAAAGCTTCCTCCCAGAAGCTCGATATGGATTTACACCATCATTTGGCACCACTGACATGATCTTTGCTGCCCGCCAGATACAGTAAAAGTGTAGAAAACAGTTTCGTGACCTGCACATTGCTATCATCGACCTAACCAACGCCTTCGACTCGGTCAACAGGGAAGCCCTCTGGCGGACCCTCAGCCGTTTTTGGTGCCCACCAAAATTCATTGCCATTGTGAGGCAACTCCACAATGGCATGAACGGCAGTGTCCTGCACAATGGCTCCCAGTATGAGTTCTTCCCCATCTAGACGGGGGTAAAACAAGGATGTGTACTGGCACCAACTCTCTCTTCCAGTGCCAGTTTAGCCGGTGGGGTGGACATCCAGTACCGGATGAAGGGTCATTTCAACATAAGACGACTCCAGGCAGAAACAAAGGTGTCAGCAGCTCCCATTACTTAACTTCAGTATGCAGACGACCTCACCCTTGTCGTGCACACTGAACGCGACTTACAGGAGATCCTGAACACCTACACAGATGCGTATGCAGATGCGTATGCATACTTCGGCCTTGAGGTGAATGTATGTACGACTCAGATTCTCTTTCAGCCTGCCCCTGGTTCAGCCACACCTCCACCATCCATCCAGCTTAATGGTACTACTCTCTCTAATGTTACCCACTTCCATTATCTCAGCTCCCACCTGTCCACCACTGCAGACATCGATGAAGAGATACAACTTCAGATCAGATGTGCAATGCACATTGTGCATCTCAAGCCTTTGGCAGACTCCGTGCCCGTGTCTTCAGCTGTAGGGAGCTGAAATTATCTACAACGTTGCACGTGTATCAAGCAGTCGTCTTCCCCACCCTGTTATATGGCAGCGAGACATGGGTCACATACAGGAGGGACCTCAAGGCACTTGAAAACTTTCACCAATGTAGTCTACGTTACATCCTCAGAGTTCGCTGAGAAAACAAGAGAACAAATGCCAGTATTCTTGCTGACACTAACTGTAAGAGCATCGAGGCTACCATTACCCATGAACAACTACGTTGGACTGGCCATGTTACCCGCATGGATGACAGTAGACTGCCAAAGCAGCTATTTTACAGACACCTGACAAATAGTAAACGTAATGCTGGCGGGCAACTGAAAAGGTAAAAGGATAGACTTAAGACAATCCTGAAAGTGCCAAATCGACCCCCTTACCTGGGAGACAATTACTCCACACCGTAACTCTTGGAGGAGCACCACTCGAGGTGTCAATACTTTCGAGTTAGCCCGACTGCAAACCGAGGCAGACAAGCGCCAACGCCCTTCCTGCTCTAGATGTGTACAACCTTGCCGGTACCGTATCGGCCTCTCTAGTCACCTCAGAGCTCACCAATGAAAGTGACCTTAATAACTCATATCAGTTTATCATAGCTGGATGATCGTCATACTCGATTCCGAGTGACAGCAAAGTAGTAGTGTGTGTGTGTGTCGCAATGTGTTAGGGAGGAGGAGTGTTTGGTGAGAATACAGAGTGGGTGGTGGGTGGGCGTGGTATGAGGAATGTTTAGATGCGGGGTAGGCGTGGCATAAGATTGAGGTAGGTATGGGATGGTCATGGTAGTTACTATGTTGACCACTGAGCTGTATAGGCGTGGGAGCGCGGGGTGGACATGCGGACTAGGCGTGGGAGTTGTAAAGTTTTATTGACCACTGACCTGTAATGGCGTGGGTACACGTGTGTATGTACCCGGCAGGAGGGGACGAGGGGCGCGGAGTAGGCGTGGTGTGGGCGCGGGCAGGACTGGACAGGGAGGAGCACCGCTTGCTGCTGGTGCCGCTAGTGGTGGGGGACGCTGGGTGGCCGCCTCTTTCCGCCACCGCCACCCTTACCGTCCACGTCGCTGACCTCAACGATAACCCCATGACACCTGCCGCCAAGACCGTCACTGTCCACACTTTCCAGGTTAGTCACTGTTCACACCTTCCACGTCTCTCACCTTCCACTTCACTTACTGTCCATACCCTCCACGTTATTCACTCTCCACAGTATAACCCTGAATAATAGTAAAATTAAAAGGGGTTTCAGAATGCTATTCGAGTTCTTTATACTAGATCAACATAGGTACAACCCCTCTACCCAACCCTATAATCTCTTTAGCATAATTAAGAACCTCTTTATACGAGGAAAAAACATTGATAAAAAAAATCTCTTAAAGGCTTTCTCTTGTAATTAGTGACCGTTAACCAGTCCTGAAATTTCCTTTTATTTCTCTTAAGTACCTCAATATTAATATATATATATATATATATATATATATATATATATATATATATATATATATATATATATATATATATATATATATATATATATATATATATATTAAAAAGGCGAGTCAGCATTCTTACCGCGCAAGCGAGTGCATCGAGTTCGGTCCCCCGGGCAGGGTGAAAGTATGGCTAAGTTTCTTGACGCTATTTGCCTCTGTCTACTCAGCAGTAATTGGGAACCTGGATGTTAAACGATTTGCGGATCGTATTACGGGGTAATGGTTAGCCAGTGGAGTTGTCCAATCTTCTCGGACTATTCCGTGACAGTGGGTCATGCAGCACACCGGTTGTTGTGTTGGCAACAGCTTCTACACATTATTCTATTCTTTCTATTGTTTTTTTGCCGATGATTTTGTATTTCATTTTATGTTTTAGGTCTGATGATGACAAGAGATTTGTCGAAACGTTACCAAATAAATGTTGCTGTTCATCCATATGTTGGTGCAGTTATTCATTCTTTATATACGCTTCTCCCGGAGGAGAGTCAATTGCATATACGCCTGTATATATTATGAGGGGGGGATTTTTTTAACTTGGCAGTCTTCATCACAATCTTTCCTGAAACAGTTAAACTTATCCATGTTCGTAAGTTTTGACTTGTGTTATTCCTGTGTTTGTAACTGGATGATTTCATTTATTTGTTGTCATTTTAATTATTTTTGCTTCTTAACAAATAAGAGCATGATAAAAAGGCCAGACAAAAGAAAACATTGTTACACACGCACACACACACACACACACACACACACACACACACACACACACACACAGGTGTGGATGTGTGTGTAACAAAACCGAACTCTTGCTTTTATCACAGACCCAAGGGATGATCATGATAGTGCTTTTAAGTAGAGTATCACTCACCCAACACGGGGGGGGGGATCAGTGCCATTGGGGACGATGTCATTCTTTATCTCTCACTTCTCCCATTCTTTCCTCCAGCATCAGGGGGTGGCGATACCGCTGGGGAAGGTGTACGTGAGTGACCCTGATGACTGGGACTCAGCGGACAAGACCTACAGCTGGCGACACCACCAGCCGGGCTTCCTCCTCCACACAGCCACCGGGGCCCTCACCATGACTCCTGACACTCCTGACGGCCGGTAGGTGAAGGTGACCTCCATGACCCCAACGTCCATGATGGCCAGTAGGTGAAGTTGAAATAGAAGGTAACCCTCACAATTGACGGGTAATACGTGAAAGTGACCCTCACACTTTTTAGTTTAACAAATTTATTGGCAGAGCTTGTAGTACAGTTTGCCTATTCTGAGTAATTCAGTCAGGTCATGACACTGAGGGTGGTATCACTTCTCACTGCCATGCAGGACAGACGTTCATACATAAAGAAATACATCATATTCATTAACAGCTATATATGTATAGAGGTCAGAAATACATCATATTCATTAACAGCTATATATGTATAGAGGTCAGATTCATGTGGGTAATGTCACTGTTCACTGCCATGCAGGACAGAGGTTCGTACACAAAGAGATGCATCATATTCATTGACACTATATAGGTCAGATTCATGTGGGTAGCAGGTGAAGGTACGCAACACCTCTAGGTACAGTTGCTTCACTCCTGCGTTATCACTTAGCATTGCCAATCCTCTCTCTGCCTGAGGGCTGAACCCCAAACACTGAACTTTGAATTCGATGCATTCGCCCGGTGAGCGGGTGGGAAAGGGAAGGGGTGTGTCGGGGTAGGTGTCTTTCTGGGGGGGGGAGGGGATATGTACAGCATCTCAGTTGGGAGAGATTACAATGCAGAATTACGCTTTGAAAATAACGACGGGGTATCCTTAGCTAGGTGTAATCGTCTAGCGCTAACCAGATGAAAATACTAAAGTTGCAATAGAATGAGAGGAGGAGGAATTTATGCTTTAAGTAAGGTGGTCCTTTGTAAAAGGAGGCATTTATGAGTAAATGGGTTGTGGATATGCTTGGATCTATATCTTGTAGAAGCAGCGAAGTTTTGTTTAGCTCCTTGTTTACGAGATGAAACTTCCCCAGCTGAATAAAATCGTCTGGTGGTAGCCAGAATAAAATAGATAAGATGCCATGATACTGAAGGGATTAATTAGCAAACAAACCAATCAGGAAGTGGACACCACATATCTATTGTAATGGAAACTTGATATAAACCAAAAGAGTTCAGTTGGCAGAAGTCGGGTATAAAATGAGCAAACCACTCAGTTCAGTTGTGCCAAATAGTGATGATAAAGGATAAAAAATGCATTATTATTATTATTATTATTATTATTATCATTATTATTATGTTATGTGGAATTTACGATGCAAAGCGATATTACTGTTGTTTCAAGGTGTTAAATAATCAAGTTTCTTTGTAATGCACTGGGCAGTCCTGGACAGAGTTGCTGGCGGAACCCTCGACTCCCAACTCACCCCTCTCCCTGCCTCCACCATCCAGCTTCTACTCTGGGTTTCTGGTAGTCGAATTACCGCAGACAATTTACAGAGTAGCATGATGCTGTGTCCTCTCATTTCCATGAGGCAATTATGATGAGAATACAAATTCAAGTGATAGTATTTCAAGCAACCAGGGCGTGGGAGTTATCAGTTTTAGCTACTCGTTCACATTATTAGGTGTTAGAAAAAAATGTTCTTTTCCACACATTCTGAGTGTTTTAATTGTTGCACCGTATACTCCTTCTCGACTACATATTCTGGCGGAATGAAGGGCGTTTGGGCCATTGGCTACGACCTCTGAATGTTTGAGTCGTGAATCTAAATAACAATAACATAACATAACACCCTACATACAGCTCGTGGACCAAACATCCGAATACCATTCTGGCGTGAATCTTCCTATGCCAAATACAGTAGTAACAGAACAATGGATTATCAGACAAATATAATTTTACTTCACATGTTCATGGTCGTTATTTGAAATACTGGGTATCACTTGTAACTGTAGTCTCATTATAACTGCCTCATCAAAATTAAATGACACAACTATATTCTACAGGGTACTCTGTAAATTGTCTGCGGTAATTCGACTACCAGAATAGGAGTTTGGTGGTGGAGGGTGGCGGAGTGGGAAGTCGAAGGTTCCCTCTCATGCACAATATTGAAGCATTTTATTATTTTAGACCTTACGCAACAACTATATCGCTTTGCACCATAAATTGCACATTTTTTGGTGATAATAATAATAGTAGTAATAATAATAGGTTTTTTTCCCCATTTAACCTCGCTGTTTGACACAACTGAACTATGTGGTTTGTTGATTCTATACCCGACTGCTGTCAACTGAACTATATTTCTTCACATCAAGTTTGTATTACAATAAATATGTTTTGCCCATTTCCTGATTGTTTTGTTTGCTAACTAATCCCTTCACTACGATGTCTTTTATCTATCATATTCTGGCTACAGCCAGATGATTTTATTCAGCTGGGGAAGTTCCACCTCGTTATCAAGGAGTTAAACAGAACTTCGCTGCTTCTACAAAATATAGATTCAAACATATCCATAATCCATTTGCTCATAAATGCCCCTTTTGCTTAGAGCATGAATTCATCCCCCTCTCATTCTATTATAACTTAAGTATTTTCATTTGGCAAGCGCTAGACAATTACTTTCAGGAGAGTAAACCCTGTCAGTATTGTCAAAGCGTTATCCTGCATTGTAATCTGTCCCAAGTGATATACACTTTCCCTCCCCACCCACAGTACCCCGTCTCTATAGAAAGACAACTACCCTGACACACCCCTCCGCGCCCCCTGCTACTCACTAGCGAATGCTTCGAATTCACACTTCTGAGTTAGGGGGTTCATACGTCAGAGAGAGAGGGAGGACTGGCAACCCTAAATGGTAAACCCAGGAGTGGAGCCAACTGTACCCTGTTAACTGGCAGGCAAAGACGCAATGTGTTTAAGACTATTGTTCCTGATTGATATATTTATTTAGAATTCTTGCAATATTTTCCAATACATTTTTCTTTCAGATGCAGACAAATTTATCTTTCCATGTTTAGAAAATTTTCTCACATACTTGGCCATATTTCTCGCCAGTATTGTGTAAGTGTTTTCTCTTCTTCCAGATAATTCAATTTTGTTGTTACTGGCTGACAATATCATTGCAAACTGAATTTCGCGTTCCCTTCATATAAACTGTTCTGTATGACAAAATTTATCTTAAATTTGTTCGACTTAACCAGAATATTCTACAAGTATATTTAAAGGTTGTTTTAGAGCCTAAATACATACTGTAAATATCTTCTATACGCATTTACATGGGCTTTAAAAAACAGCACCGTGCCAACTTTGAGCCCTCTGACGTCATCCTTTAACCAAAAACCCCTCGCCAGGTATGAGTTGGGATTCAAGGTCAGTGACCCCACCCAAGGTCAAATGGATATTGAGGCCAATGTGACAGTTCAGGTGAACACCCTCGACCCCCGTGACGTCATCGCCGCTACACCCCTCACCCTGGAAGCTGATAGCCACCGGGTAGTGAGGCAGGAAGAGCAGGTGAGGCAGGAAGAGAGAGAGATACAAACCAAAAGAGAAAGCAGTAGTTAAAAGTAAATTGAAAGTGGATTATTGAACAATAATACAACATTATGTACGACATAAAACACTAATATAGATGGTGGGAGACGAGAGCCAATTAGAGATTTCGTGATTTTATTTAACGCCCTTGATGGTGATGATGGTTTAACACTCTGAAGACAAACATTTCCCTATGTTTTTAAGGTATTAAACCATCGTCTTCAACAGGTTATGTTAGCAGTTACCTCATAAATTATCATCTGTATCCGCCATAAATAAAAATTTAAATGAATAGCTTGCGTTATCAGAACATTAATGCCTCGAACATCTTACCTATGTTCCTAACCTAACTTTAATCATTATGACAATAACATTCATATAATGTAAATGAAATGCAAAGTGCCGTTAATTACTTCTGTTGGTGTTGTTTATTAAGAACTGGGCACTGCTAAACTCGGCTCTTAGTATGAAGCTTGATGATTCTCCTTCACCCACAGGCAGGAACATCCATACTGAGCAGACTGGTGATGGCGGTGCGGGTATTGGTAGAGGGGAGTGGTGAGGGTGTGCAGGTGGTGTCGGTGGAGCAGCTAGAGGGACACACCACTATACCCACCACCCGTGTCTGGCTCACTTCATCCAGGATTGCCAACTTTGATCATCTTTTGATGTACCGCAAATATGAGGTGAAGCTTACAGATTTGGACTTATATTTCTGAAGCTATTATGACGTTAAATCAAAGCTGAGAACCTAATTATTCATGAAAGTGTTATTCTTGTAAGCTTTTCCATGAGTTAACATAACCTTTATAAATGAAAAATTTAAATTAGTTAAAGTCAACTCGCACATTTATTTTTATGAAAAGAAACGATACATTTGTTTGTTATACTGTTCATGCTCGTGGTACTGTAATAAAATATGAAATACTGTACTTAACTACTGAAACATATTCAGATGATACTCAACTCGACTTTCTCTCATGTTAATAGTTAAGCCAAGCCATAGGTGTCAATATTAGAGATGTTGGCGTGGTCAACTGTCACCAGGCCAACAAAGAGGACACCCAGAAAGCTCACCTTACTGTCCACGTTGCCGGGCGGGAGTTGAGGCGGTGCATCAGTGGGTGCTGGGCAGCCCTGGGCAAGGGGTTCAGCGTGGTGGACGCAAACACGTCAGCCGTGGTGGGTCCTAGGATGGAAGTCCTCACTACCTGTGGCTGTGATAATCCCACACCTGTCCATCACACCACCTGCACCCCCAACCCCTGTCTCAATGGTGGCAGGTGTATGGCCACATCCACAGGCACTAGGTGAATTGAACACGAGTACGGATGCAGACTTGAATAAGCTCTCAAGTATTTTGATGTTGATCAATATACTGAACACTTTTTTATCAAAATACACCATATCTATAAATGACTTTCTCATAACACAGTTTTCCATCGACTGATTCTTAGTCTTTATACTATTTGTAGTGTGTCAGACAAGCGTGTATATTTATTTTAATTACAGTGATAATGAACTTCATATAATTTTAAAGACAACAGAATGTCTTCTATATTAGCACACCAATCTGTGTTGTAGCTGATGTTGCTACTCTGTATTGTTCCTTCAGTTTACAGTTACCGCATCTAAAGGCTTTAACAATATGGGTATGGGTACCTTCAAGTTTTCTGTTCATATATACTTCCCCAGTCCCTTATAATGATAAAACATGTATTTATTACCAACACACCTGTTGTCTCACCCAGGTGTATCTGTCCCCACCATACTTGGGGTTCCCGCTGTAAGATGGTCACCAGACACTTTGAGGGTGGGGGCGGGCAGGACAGCGGAGGTGGCATTAATGGGGTCACCTCAGTGGGTGGATGGGCATGGGTGCCACCCATCCCACCCTGTACCAAGGTCCACCTTAGTGTGGAGGTGCTCACCAGGTATGGGACAGCTATGCTGCTGTACTCCGGGCCAGACCATGGAATGGTATCCCCAGGGAATGAGTTGGTGGCCGCTAACAGCCTGCTGCTGCTTGAGCTGCGTCAGGGCCATCCCTACCTCCTACTGGACCTGGGGGGTGGTCCCATCACCCTCATCCTCAACGCCTCCTATTCCCTCGCGGACAACACTTGGCACAGGATTGACATCATCTGGAAGGACAAGGTAAACAACTTGGAGAGGGAGATGGTACCTTGTGATACTAATTGTCGACAGTGAGTGCAACTTCAACAATACAATGTGAGAGTTGATATTAGAAGACAACACAGTGCACGGTGGAGATTAACAAAGGATTTATGGTTAGGGGTCAATTAGTATACCCAAGTGTGTATAGTTACTATAAAAACAAACCCAGCAGTGACTGTACTGTTGTGACCACGTTGTACTGTATTCACATTCACTCTGAATGAATGGGGTGAGCAGAATGTAACAAAATGTTAACCTTGTGTATGAGTCAGATGCACGACCAGGCCAGCTTCATGACATGGGTTAATTTGCATTAATCAACATCTCATCAGCAAAAGTGATGGTGATTACAACATAAGTAGATTGATAATTTATATGGCAAGAACTTTATAATTGTTTTTGCTAATACAGATTATCATTGCCCATCCTCCCAGACAGCAGAGATGATTGTGGACGTGTGTACAGGTGGTAGCTTGGACGACCCGCCCACACCACCTTCCAGTTCCTCTCAGAACCACTCAGCCCCTCCTACCCACCCAAATGCCCACACCTGTCGGGTTATTGCCAGATTGCCCCGGAGTGCCAACGTCCTCAACACTGGTGGGCCATTGCAGGTGGGGGGACTGGCCCACCCACCTCCATCCCATACCCTACATGGTGGCCCACTACCCCTCCGCCCACCTCATTTCCGGGGATGTATCAGGAACCTAAGAGTGAACGGTCAGGTGAGAGGTGACAACTTGTACATGAATTAAGAAAAAATTACCTCCAATTTGTTAAAGTGATAATTTAAATTTGTTTGGATTATACTAAGTAAAATTATTGATCATAAATACGAAGCCTCATTTTGTGTTTGTAATTTTATTATCTTGCCTGACACCTTGATAGAACTTGTAAAGCACAACATTTCACACAGATCATTCACTGTATGTCATGGCAACTATTTCATTATATTTTCGATATTTTTTTGAATATCTGACATGAGCACATATGAGCAATTATGAAAATAAACACATAATACAAACTACAAATGAATATCATCTGTAATAATAACCAACCTAAACTAACTTAACGTAATCTAGGATTGGTTTTAAATATGATAGCAAAGAATATCCTAAATGAAATCTGTACTTTAGTTAATTGTACCATATACAGTATGTACTAACTTCCATGGAGTTATAATTTTGAAAGTTACTCCATTGAATTTGTATTGTGTAATTGGATGATTATACAGTACCTATAAGAGCTTATAGAGTAAATATGTGAGTTTGAGAATCACCAGTACTGTACCTTCTGTACATGGAAGTGTTGTTTTACGGTTCAGGTTCAGATTTTAATGAAAGTTGTGGCGTGTATCCAAGTACTCGTCTTCATCATCATCGTTTTATGCCTTTTTTCCATTCTTGATTGGGTTAACCGCGGTTACCTGGTGGCAACTTTTCATACTGCATGGTCTCTTGCATTCTCTCTTGTCAGGTTCCTAACTCAATGTCATTCTCGGCCTACCCTTGGCTCTCCTCCTCCCCTCCATATTTAGGCTCGTGCACCTCTTGACACAAATTGACTCATCCATTCTCCCCACATGGCCAAACCATCTCAGCCTGCATCAATGGAAAACTTCGCCAATACTCGCAATACTGTTATGCCGAGGCATAATTTCGTATTATAATTTTGTAAACTAGGTATTTTGATTGTTTTCTGTCTCACGAAGCAGTTATTTAGGCAAATTTAGTAAAATTTTCGTGTATATATTGATGATATTGATGTATTAATTATGTAAGAATATTCAAGAATGTATCGCATAATTTTTGTTATGTTTGTAAGCCTCGATCAGAGTAGAACGTTCTAGAATTTCTCAGGCGTCACTGGGCTATTATTCTAGGATGTTCGAGAAGCGTCTGATGAGGCTTATAATTATATATATATATATATATATATATATATATATATATATATATATATATATATATATATATATATATATATATATATATATATATATATATATATATATATATATATATATACTGTATATATATGAAACAAAAGACCCCTCTCCTTTGGTCTATTGTGGTAATTCTTGTGTTTCCTTCAGTTGGTGGACCTGGGTAGTAGGTTACTGAGCCACGCCAGCTCTCCTGGGTGTCCTGCTGCTGACTGCCTCTCTAATAGCCTCTACTGCGGCCTTCATGGCAGGTTAGTGAAAGTCATGACTCATGTCTCCACTTGTGAAAAACTATTAAAATACCAGATGGGATGGGTGGCAGATGAGAGACTATTTAAGAAAATCTGTTGCAGTGTTTTTGAAGGTGTAAGGATGAAAGGCAGATTACTGTAAGACATGGATAAAATCAATGATTGATTGTTTTCATTTTCTAAAACGCAATTTTTCTTTAGTAAGTTGAGAATTGTTCCTAATGAGTCATGATTTGTGTTTATTACAGAAAGTCCTCACCTAATGTCTTTTGAACATTTTCAATCAACTGACAGCCTTTAGAATATCTTGGGGACCAGACAGGATTACAGTACTCCAAACGGGGAAGCACCTCACTCTCGGTGATTGTTATGAAGGACGGACCATCTAGATATCTGAACGACCTTCTTATAAGAGCTAGTAGCTTAGTTGCTTGATTCATCATCTTCTCACAATAGCCCGAGAACTTGAGTTCGTTGTCAACATTCACACCCAGGTCCTATTCACATTCGGTTTTAGTTAATGTTGTTTCTTTGTCCCGTTGGGATATGTGGTATGCCCCCTTACTGTTGGTACGACCTAGTTGCAGCTTCTTACACTTTGTGACATTGAATCTTAACAGCCATTTATTCGACCATTCTTAAAGCTGACAGATCTTTCTGTAGCTCTTCACAGTCCGCTTGGTTCTTAATTTCCCTGAATAACTTGGCATCGTTCTGAAACATTTGCATAGAGGAGTGTATACCGTCTGGCATATCATTTATGAAACAAACAAACAACAACGGGTCTAGTACACTGCCCCTTGGTACCCCACTTGTCACGGGTACACATGGCGATTTTGTGTCATTAATCACCACGCAATGTTTGCGGTCATGAAGAAAATCTTTGATCCACGCTAGGACACTTCCCCGAATCCCGTACCCTTCCAGTTTAATTCTCAGCCTTTCATGGGATACGCTAACGAAAGTCTTGGCAAAATCCAGATATATATTGCCGATATTTCCGCCCTCCGCCAGAATTTGAGCCCAAACATCCAGCACCTTGAGTAATTATGTCAAGCAGGAGCGGCCCGGCATAAAATCATGTTGTCAATCCTTTACAAGAGGTTGTTTCATAGTAGATGTTCCATCGTGGCATATCTTATAATGTTCTCTAGTACTCTACACGCTATGCTGGTCAGGCTCACTGGTCTATAATTATTCTAGGCGTGACGATCGTCTTGCTTGAATATAAGGTTTACATTAGCCTTTTTCCAGTCACTGGGGACATTTTACTCATCCAGGTTTCTACCGAACAAGATCTTAAGGGTTTCTTGTGAACTTTTAGCTTTGACAATTTATTTCTTGTACCCTCTCCTGAGAACATAGTGTGGGTCAGCTGTGTGTAAAACTGTTTTTGTTTGTTTTTTCAAACGCAGGAAGAATTTTCGCACCCTCTCTCGTGAGCACTTAGGAAAAGAATTTGTTTAGCGCTTCCGCCTTGTCCTGATCTGAGTCTGCATAACTAGCCTCAGATCCGACACGCCCACATATGTATTTAATATTGCATGCGAAACGGTAGAAAGCCCTTGGGTTTCACTTGACCTCGCTTGCAATCCGCCTTTGGAACTTTTTTCCAGCCCTTCTGCACTCTGACTTACCTTGGTTTCTGGACCTGGCATAAATCCTTCTGTCCTGCTGATCACTTTTTGTAACTCACCTCTTCAATTTCTGATATTTTTTCATAACTTTGTCAACAGTCGTCTGGTTCATGTGTAATGGATTCCTTGTATTCCTGGAGCCAGTGGGTTTGGTCTTGGGTATTTATCTATCAAATAGCTCAATATCTGTGCTCCTGTATCTTAATGAGTCAGGCCAATGAATACCCCTTATCTCCTCCCTCATCCCGTCATAATCGGCCTTATAATATTTTAATCTTAGCCTGCATTTGTCATGAACCAAGTAACAGTTAAATCTGAAGGCCAACATTACGTGGTGACTGGTGCCAACGGGGGCTAAATGTTCTAGCTTGACCACCATACCCTTCTCGTTTGTTATGACGAGGTCCAGTGGTTTGGGTGTTTATTTCCCCATGTAGTGAGTCGGATCCTTAACATGTTGGAATAAAAAAAAAATCAGAGTTTCTACAAAAAGAGTCGCGGGGTTATTAAGGTCATTTGGTGTGGTTTTTAATTTCTCCAGTCAATGTCGCCATAATTAAAATCCCCCATGACAAGAAAGTAGCTAGGGTTGTATATTAGTGTACTGTACATGCTTTTTAAGCCGGAAATAGTCCTAGGTAACGTCTTTGGTCTTCGTAGTGACTTTGGCCTCCTCCATTCTCAGCAGCTGCCTCGTTTACTAAACTCACCGTATTTTGTGGGGTGCAAGTACTGGGTATGTACAGGTTCCAGAATGTATCCATATCTGTGTAGCGTTGGTCAAATATGGTATTGTAGGATCTCACACTCGGTACCGTCACAACGTTCTTTGGCAGATTGTTCCAAGAGTTCACAACCCTCACTCCAAAAAGTTTGTCCTGACAGTTTTCTGAACTTGTGGCATTTTCAACCTTAAACTGTGATCCCAAAAGTGGGGCGGGCATCCGGCAGCTCTAGGTAAGAACACTCGATTGAATAATGTCCTCTGAGGTATTTATAAACTTCTAGTAAGTCACCCCCTGCCCGCCTATAGTATAAACTAGGCAATTACAGGCGTTCTAATCTCTCTTGTTGTTGTACTTGAGGTGCAGTAGTGCAGGCACCAGTCTGGTAGCCCTCTTTTGGACGTTTTAGATGAGGATAGGAATTATTGCGTGTTGTGCGTCGCAGAAATGAGATTGGTGGATCATTGTTAAACGCTATTCCTGTACTTCACATCAACTTATTGTACAAAGTGAATGGATATGAATCATCTGGTAGTGTGTAGCAACTAAAAATAGTGGTGTTCTAGATTGGCTGAAGTTGGAAATACATTTAATTTTCATTTAAGATGTTACATACAATACTTAATTAATCTTGTGTAAAAGAGTATGATGTCAGGGTTAACAAATACAGAATATCGATGGCTGATATATAATTTCTATATTTTGATAAATTTTAACTAAATCCATGAATAAATATGTCTTTGGTAGATGCCAGGGTTCACCTGGTTCGCTCTGGTGTGAGTGTCAGCTTGGATGGACAGGACCAGGTTGCACCACACCTACCATGCCCACCACCTTCCTTTTGAACAGCTATGTCAAGTTAGCGCTCTCCTTTACCCCTCTGGGCTACACCACTTCCATTTCCCTCAGGTATGACGTATTACCTGTACTGGTGTTATCAATAAAGTACTGTACATGTGAGAATGACTTCATGGTATCACTAATATTAACACATACACTTTTGTAAGTACAGTATTCCACATTTCTAATAAAGTGAAATATTGATTTCTGTAAATGTGCTTTTAGAACATTACAAAATACTAATAGAAACCTCTTTACTCCCTCCTCTGCAAGAGAATAAATAGGCGAACTTCTTATTGTGGGTTGTCATCGTTCCCTTTAGCACAGGCTTTTGTGTAGCATATCCTTCCTTCCACAAGACATTCTCCCTAGTTTGTCTTATACTACAGGTTCAGGACATGGAGGAGGACAGGGCAGCTGGTAGTGGTGACATCGCAACATGGGCGTGATAGTTGGTCAGTGGAGGTGATGGGTGGCCATCTGTGTGTGATGCTGCGTCTCCAGCCTCGACCCCCTACCTCCCTCTGTCTCTCCAGGACCTCTCTCACGGATGGCCGCTGGCACTCCCTCACAGCCACAAGGTACAGGCACTGTTATTGACTTCCCATATTAGTGGCATTGTTAATGGCACGCCTTGCTATCATACTCACCGCTACAGATAGTGATTCTCCTCCCTATTAATACAAATTACTGATACTCCCCTCTGATACAAGGTACTGATACTTCCCACTGATACAAGGTACTGATACCCCACTGATACAAGGTACTGATACTTCCCACTGATACAAGATACTGATACCCCTACTGATACAAGGTACTGATACCCCACTGATACAAGGTACTGATACTTCCCAGTGATAAAAGAAACTGATACCCCCACTGATACAAAGTACTGATACTCCCGCTGATACAAGTTACTGATAGTCCCCCACTGATATTTGGTACTGATACTCCCAATACACAATTGATTGAAATTTACATTCATTAATGAGCTTTTATATCGCACTAACTAGCCATGTTTATTTCATTATGTTTTGCTTGGCACTTACTGTAGTTTGATCCAGTTTACTTGTAATTTACTGGACTAGAATAATTGACATATTCCACTGAATTAAATTGTTTTACCCGAGTTTCAACACAAAATGATGATTACATTTCATAAGGTTTGTAGCTAAAACACAGTGAATATTTTTTTTTAAATAAGCAGCATTCCCTAAAATTCCACAATGCTCATTAGCACACCTGAGAATCAGTCTGTCAACATATTAAAAAGGCATTTTAACCGAGATGAATTTCCTCATTTGTAATGTGAGGTCAGACAGTTGTAATTCCTTTGCCTTAAAAAGTGTATCTTATTTATCTTATTTGCTTTTGTCACTAACTTTATTCAATTATCTGTGTTATAAGAGTAAACTGTGGGTGACGAATGATACTGGAATTTTCTGGTGAGTTGTTGATTTTTTATAATAGGTAACTTTGATAACCTTGAAACATTATGGAGAACTGTGTGCCAAGATATACTGCACTATTTGGTTAAGTCTCGGAGCATGAAGACACAGTATACTGTACTACAGGTATTTAATTCATTTAAGGAGCATGAAGTCACTTTAAATCTGATAGCAAGAAGGGCATTTTGATACAGAAATATTTTACCTCAGAAAGTAGAAAACTTATTTTTAATCTATATTATTAGGATAAACAAGAATACAAGTCCAGTTTTATTAATATAAGAGTAAATATCTTCAAAATAATCACAAGCCAGGTGACAGGAACAAAGCGATTGATGGCATCACAATGGGTAGTCCTGAATAATTGATCACAGTACGCAATGTAAAGTTTAATGAGTGAGCACGAATAGTAAATATAACAGAGCAAATGAATAGTAACTGTAACAGGGAAACACCGGGAATGGATTTTGAGTTTGCAAAATCAACTCTAGTGCCTAGATGCCTCCTTGCTTTTTTAAAACTTATATTTTTCTACCACCCAAGACCCATATCAATGCACTTAAGTCCTTAATTGATGTTATTTCATGTACAATAACGTATTACTTTTACTTTACTTTTATCCTCTTCACCACTAATCGGCTCGTTAGCTGCTTGGGCGATCGGTCACGTCTCTATTACGCAATGTTGGCAAATACTGGTCATGCACCGGCTCCTGAATGTACTTGAACCTGCTCCAGTGTTGGTCAAGTCTGGCCTTGAAGGAGCTCACACGCGGTGCCGTCACAACATTTTCTGGCAGATTGTTCCAAGAGTTTACAATTCTCACTCCGAAAAAGTTTCCCCTCACAGTTTTCTGAACCTGCGGCTTCTTCAGCCTTGAGCTGTGACCCCTTGCAGGGCGAGCGTCCGCCAGCTCCAGGTAAGGACACCCGACTTAGTAGTGCCCCTTGAGATGCTTATGCACCTCAATTATGCACCTTGCCCGTCTGTAGTATAGGATAGGCAAGTTCAGGCACTCCAATCTCTCAGGGTAGCTGATGTGCCGAAGTGCAGGCACCAGTCTGGTGGCCCTCCTTTGAACATTTTCAATCAACTGACAGTCCCTAGTAATTCTCGAGGACCAGTCGGGGTGACAGTACTCCAGATGGGGAAGCACTTCACTCTTGAAGATCGTTACGAGGGACGATCCGTCCCTCGTAACGATTTACCTTCTTCTCTCAATTGCCCGAGAACTTCAGCTCTTTGTCAACATACACACCGAGGTCCTTCTCACATTCAGTCTCAAATAGTGCATTTTCTTTATCCCGTTGGGACATATGATACGCCTGCTTACCGTTGGCATGCCCCAGGTGCATCCTCTTACACTTCGTGACATTGAATCTCAGCAGCCATTTCTTCGACTCGACGAGCTCTTTGCTTCAGACGATTCCAGTGAATTTGATGGATATTAAATGTGTGTGTTTTTTTTTACAATGCTTTCATTGGTTTAACACCATATCGGTATTTGGATTTTAGCGAGAAATAGAAATTTTAAAAAATGCAACAGCTGTTTCAAGATTGACGACCCCAGCTACCTTCTCTGACCCACATCATTAAGGTAATTTGTATGGAATTTTTAGGTTTTTTGTTTTTGTATCTGACCTATAAGACTGCCCTTGGTTTTGGGATGGTGTTTTGTGATTCAAGTGTCGTCTTAATCAAACCTTATTGTATATTGGGTAAAATTTCAGATTACAGCAACCAAAGAATCTGATAAAAACAAAATGTGTTACCTAACCTAACCTAATGTAATATAAGAAAATTATCATGGAAAAAATAGTTCTATCAATTGAGTGTAGTGAATTTCCGGAATTCTGTGGTTGCTGTTTACTGCAATATTGTACATGGAATAACATCAATAAAGGACTTAGGTGCATTAGTAAGGGACTTGGGTAGTAGATAAATACAAGTTTAAAAAAAAATGCAAAGAGGCATTTACAGACGCTGCAGTTGTTTTGGTAAAGGTGTAGATAACAGCTACCACCAGAAGGAGTTGTCCGAATTGGTTGAAAAATTTTCTACACACTAATATCATGATATTAAACACAAAAATGGAAACGACAATGCATAGAACCTAATAGAACCTAACCTAACATACCCATTATCGTGTTAATTTATGTTTTAAACAACTTACCTTAATATTGAGGTTTGATATAAATCAGCAATGGCGAGGAGGAATTCTTGGAAACGTTCACCATCATTTATAGGAAACGTCTCTTGAAGAGGGATTCAGCGAGGTAAACAACAAAGATGGCACCGGGAGGAGAAATGTGAAGCGGGATAGAGTAAATAAAAAAGTGAATTTATAGTATCACACCAGTCTTTATTTCCGTACTAAAAATATGTATCTCGTAATATTTACACAATTCTAAGACATTTTTTTCTATAATATTTCCTCCGGAAATTAAGGATAACCGAGAGATTAATTTTTCAACATTAGTACTTTCGCTCAGTCACAAGTGTCGCCATGATTTGTTTACTTATGGCGCTCCAGGCCTAACCCCTCTGG